GGGAAAGAAACCACGTATTTTGTTAGTATTTTTGCTTACTTTTTATTGAAGAGATCATAGAAACCAGAGCCTCTTCCCCAGGCCCGCTCCTCTGGGGTTTGTGAGGGGAACACACCAGCCTCTGGTTTTTTATTTTTTTAAGAAGCCATCACCTGAGCAACCGAGAATTCCTCTGCGCTGGGGACCTGCTGCCCTCTGGTGGTGGTTTGAGGAAAACCAGCCTGGCCAAGCAGCCAGGACCAAACGTGGCAACCCCAACTCCACTCCAGCCTGGCGTCCAGCGCCACAGCCATGGCCTGGGAGCCAGGCCTCACTTTGAGGTGCCCTTAGAGGAGGCAGGATGCGAGCCAACACCTGACCCTCTCTGCCAATCTGGGTATGGCCCCCAGTGTCCCCTATTCCTGTCCCCAACCCAACCCTTAATAAAAGCTGATTTTGTAATATGTTTCTGTCTTTGTGTGTGGAGGGAGTGAAGTGGGGCCTGAGGTGGGAAAGCATGGAATGGGAGGATTAACCCACACCTGGGTGCCTGTTGGGGGACCTGAGAAGCTGGAGATCCAGGGTGGAGTGTGGCTGGCAGGTGACACTCCCATCCCAGGATGCCAATCCAATGGGCCCCTCTGCTCATACCCGGGCACCACCAGACAAGGATACCACCTCCCCCTGGGGGATAGGAACCGGGATGCTGGACCTTCTTGGGTTGAGAATGTTCACATCCTGCCAACATTAACTTTAATTTGGGGCTTTAGCATGAAGTATGTACTCAAAGCCTGTTAATTTCCTTTACAGCCCCTTTTAATCATGGTTGTGTACTGTGTGCTAGGCACTGTGCTAAGCATACTACACGTGTTACCTCATTTATGCCTAACAAGCATCCCAGGGCACAGGTAATATCTCCATTTTACAGATGAGAAAACTGAGGATGAGGCAGGTTTGGTGAATGGCCCAAGGGAACATATTTCCAGAGCCTGTGCTCTTTCTTAGCCTCTCATCTCCTTTCTTTCCAAATCTGGGACCTAGGACATTCTGGACCCTGATTTGTGTTGGGGTTCATTCTCAGAGCCAGTGGCCACATTTGGGAAGTGGTTGGATAGGGTCTGGTCATTTTGGAACTAGAACAGCTTTTTTTATGCAAAAGTGAGTGATGGTAAGAGTATGTACCCTTGGGTGCATTTGAAGACAGAAGTGTGCAGGACCCTGGTTTAAGGGATTTTGGAACCAGAAACAATGTGCTCACCAGGAAAGGGCAAGAACAGGTTGGGCGTGGCTGAAGAGGGAGCTCTGACTAGCCACACCTCCCAGCCTCCAGGGCCAAAGCCTGGAAGGGGCCCTCAGAGCATTCTGGCCACCCCTCCATTGCACAGCTGGGGAGTCTGAGGCTAGAAGAGGAACAGCCATTTGCTTAAACTCACACAGCTGTGCCAGGCTAGGACTCGGGTCTTTCTCTATTTCCCTAGGCAGAGCTCTTTTGCCTGGTGTACAAGACTCCTCCCCATTAGTGGTCACAGAAACCTAGGGCATGGACATGCCAGCCAGCAGGGGCTGGATCAGAGCTGGTAGAGAGCAGGACTGGCTGAGTTACACATGGGTCCAGTCGAGGCACAAAGTGGGGAGGCCCCACCAGGTCATATTGAGCCTTATCCTCTCACCCCACCTTCCTGGAAGGTCCCTGGGAAAAGACCCCCATTCAGCAAGCCCCTCCCCCATGACAAGCTTTGGGCCAAACATTTCACACATCATCACAGGACCCAATGGGTTTCACTACTGCTCTCCCCATTTTACAGAAGAATAAGTTGAGGCTCTGGGAGTAATGGGCATTCATTCATGTACTGCTGTCCTTGTGGACAGCTTAAGTTCTAGCCGGGGGAGATAATAATAAAGTGCTAAGTTAAAAATATGGTAATATCAGAGAGTGATAAGTCCTCTGAGAAAAATAAAGTAGGGAAGGGACACAGGGAGTATGTGTGATAGTTAAATAAGGATGCCCAAGGAAGGCCTTACTGAAGGTGACATTTGATTTGCCTAAAGTTACACAGTTCATAAGAAGCTGAGCTGGGCCCTGGCTGGGTATTTTAGTTGGTTAGAGCATCGTCCCAATATGCCAAGGTTGCTGGTTTGACCCCTGGTCAGGGCACATAAAGAATCAACCAATGAATGCATAAATAAGTGGAGCAACAAGTTGATGTTTCTCTCTCTCTCTCTCCCTCCCTCTCTCTCTCAAATCAATGCATAAAAAAATAAAAAATAAAAGAAGTTGAGCTCAGATTTGAATCCAGGTCCATTTGACTCCAAATCTATTCCTTTCCTGGTTGAGAGAGTGGGTCTCAGGAGCATCTCAGAAACAGCACACAAGTCCCGGTTGGGCGTGGCTCAGCGGTTGAGCATCGACCTAGGACCCAGGAGATCACGGTTCGATTCCTGGTCAGGGCTCGATCCCCAGTCGGGGGTGTGCAGGAGGCAGCTGATCAATGGCTCTCTCATCATTGATGTTTCAAATCTCTCTCCCTTCCTCTCTCTGGAATCAATAAAGAAGTATTTAAAAAACAAACAAAAAAACAGCACACAAGGAAACCATGGAAACCAGGGCAGGGAACTCTGACACTGGGCTGGGGAAGAATTGGGGGTCTCCAGGATATCCCTAGACTTTTGAGAAGAGTAGTATAGGGAAGGGCTTCTTTACTGCCTCCCCATGCTCCCCAGGAGCCCCAACCAAGGCTCAGAAGGAGAGACCAGTGCCCATCCTACCCGGGGCGGGCTTGGTCTTTGGCTTTCCCATCCCAGCTTCTGGCTTCAGGGCTCAGCAGGCCTTAATGCTGGCCAGCCTCCTATCTGGGAGGGCCTGTGGTGGACCCCCATGCTGTGGATCCCCCACTGTCTTTCTGTCAGTGTGGTTGTGTAGATATGAGGTATTTCAGGGGTCCTGTATCTGGAGTCTCTGCCTTGGGTCCTGGGCCCACCCTGAGGGGTGTCTCAATCTGCCTCTGAGTTGAAGCATGTGTGCCCATATGATGGCTTCTCCCTACTCCCAGATTCTTCAGATATATCTCAGGATCTTCCTGTACACCCACTTCCAGGAAGCCTCCTTGACCAGGCCCTCCTGTAACTGTGAAGATGTGATTTATACAACACACCTTGCTGCCCTTCTGGCTAAACATTATAGAGAAGTCTTGCCTTCCTTGTGAGAATCTCTGGATTCTCAGGGGACCCCTGGAGGCAGGGCTGTGTTTCCCCTCCAACTGAGGGACATGTCCGCTCTCTGAAACTGAACCTTCCATGTCTCTTTCAGCTTCAGACTCATCTGGTGCTCAGCCTGCGGCTGCTCAGGACCGCATGCCTGTGTGTGTGTGTGTG